GCGGTGTGTCCGTGGCGGGGGGCCCTCCCCGGCCCCCAGCCTCTGCCCCGAGGGTCCCGTGTTAATGACCACGCTGGCCAAGAGAGCACGTCTCCTGTGGCCCGTGCAGGCTTTCAGCAAGTGCTTTCTGGTCTGTGCTCTCATTTTCTCACTGGCAAAGTGACTTGAGCAGGCTGAGGGCACCCCAGGCTCCTGTCCCCACCAGCCAGACCCTGCTGGTGTATGGAGGTCGCCCAGGAAGGGGGATCGAGGGCCATTTTTCGTGTGTCTTCCGTGCTTCACAAAAAAACCTCAGGAGGCTTTTTCGTTTGTTTTCTGACTTTATTTTCGCTCTTTTCACTTCCATGTGCACTGATGGGAGAACACATTTCCACCCACGTATTCCAGCAGGCAGGAAGGCAAGGACAGTGCATCTAAAATGGAGAGTGATGCCGTCTCCCCAGAGCGAGCTGGAAAAGGTTTTAGTTTCTTGAGGGAATTTATCTTGCACGGAAAAGCCATTTACAGTGGAGGAAAGTTCTCAGGCCAGAAGTGTGGGGGCGTGATCCCACCACCCAGTGGGGCTGGGCACAGACCTTTCCAGCTCTGCTTTGAAGAAGGCTTTTTTCTGCATGGTTGTGGCTCCTGCCAGGGGAACCCGAGGGCCTTGGCAAGGCGGGTCCCATCCCTCGTGTCCTCTAGGGCAGGATCTGCCTGTAACAGCGCGTCTCTCTCTCCCCCAAGTACGAACAGTTTGAGAGCACCATTGGCTTCAAGCTGCCCAACCACCGCTCTGCCAAGCGTCTCTGGAAGGTCTGCATCGAGCATCACACCTTCTTCAGGTGAGGACACCTTCTCCAGACCTTCTCCAGGCCACCCTTGTGGGAGGCAGACATGCTCCTGGCTCTGCCGCGGAGGGTAGCAGTGGGAAGCAGCGCCGGGGGGCATGGCTGGGGCTCGCTGACGACACTCCACCTCTCTCACCCCCAGGCTGGTGTCCCCAGAGCCACCCCCCAAGGGCTTCCTGGTGATGGGCTCCAAGTTTCGCTACAGCGGCCGGACGCAGGCACAGACCCGGCAGGCCAGCGCCCTCATCGACCGCCCGGCTCCCTTCTTCGAGCGCTCCTCCAGCAAACGGTACACCATGTCTCGCAGCCTTGATGGAGGTATGCCCCAAATTGGGGAGGGGGAGGGAGATTGGTCCGCTGGCGGGGGCGGGGGGGATGCTGTTCGGCTCGTCCCTGGGAGCTGTTGGGCTCCTTTGGCAGGGTTACAGCAGCCATCAGGCTTCCTTCTGGAGGCTGTGCCCCACCGGATCCCCCCCCCCC